TAGGGCCCAAACAGTATGCCTTACTCCAGTTCTCTTTCATGTAGTTCATTCCTATTCTGTCTTTCCGATTTGAGTCTTCTAGGTTTAGCTTGGGATTGTGTAAAAAGTCAGGTTCAGAAACATGTTCAGCCCTAACCAGTTTGGCTCAGTGGATAGAGCGTTGGCCTGTGGACTGAAAGGTCCCACCCAGGTTCGATTCCGGTCAAGGACATGTACCTTGGTTTCGGGCACATCCCCAGTGGAAGGTGTGCAGGAGGCAGCTGATCGATGTTTCTCTCTCGTCGATGTTTCGAACTCAACCTTTCCTTTCCTCTTGGTAAAAACTCAATAAAAATATATTTATAAAAAAAAAAGAAAAAGAAACATGTTCAGATTCAGGTTTCTGAATCTGCCCTCCCATGGGCCAGCTATTCTCCTGCAGGATAGTGGAAGTGAGCTGTGGTGCTGTCAGGGGTCCAGGAGTCTGAATCATGGTGTCATCCCTATTTAGCCACGTATTATCCAGACTTTCATCTTCTACTTATTTCTTGTGATGTGGGGATTGTCCTTTCTTACTCCTTACTGAAGATGTTTTGCTGCTACTTCCACTGTTCACAGACATTCTATCATCGTCACCTCTGATGACTAACACATTTCTACTAATATAAGAGATTAATAGAAGCCATACATCTTCCCACCTTTCCATCATCTGCTCTGTAAGGATTTTTTTCTAGGTATGAATGAACAGTCCTTTTATCCTGTCGAAAAAATTTAGAAGAAAATTCTTTTAGTAATTCCAGCAAAGCCAGATTAGGTGGTGGACATTCTGTCCTTTCTGATTTTGGTGTTTAAAGGCAAATTCTATGCCATTCCTGTGAAGTGTGGCAACTGATTCTTGTGTGTCTTGATTTGATCCAGTCCAAATGCAAGAGCAAAGAGACATGCCAATTCTTTTATGCCACTGACATAGGGAGATGTCCTAGGTAGCTTGGGACCTTGCTCTTGAACAAGTTCATTAAACAACTGCTGTAAATTGAGAATGAGGGTGTTGGCATACTGAATTTTATCAGTCTGCCTGGTTTTACTAGTGTTTCCTTAGTAATATCACCATATTCATTGTAATGTTTCATGTAGTGTTTAAAGATGTCTGCAGCTGCATGCATGTCAAAAATATCATAAATGATATGTTTGTTGAAACAACAAGTAGATTCCTTATTTTATGTAAGGACTCAATTTTATTTGCTTCATCTTCTTCATCCCCTCCATGCTCTGGTTCTCCTCATCCTGTTCAATGAAAACATGACCCATTACAAAACTGAGGAGCTCAGACTGCAGTCCAGTATCTGGATTAAACTCCAAAGACTGAAGGGCCTTCCTGCTACCTGGTGGCTAAAAATCATCAAAAGATCACAGAGTAACATGAAAGCTTCCAAGAAAGAAAAAAAACAACAGCATCATAATGAGATTCCCGTTTGAACTGTTCTTTCCCCTCCTCTTCACTAATGTTTGTTCTCTTTGTGGGTCATGTCTGCTGAAAACCTTTTTGTGAAGGATTCTCCAGCTCCATAGCAACAGGCAATGTGCTAAGTCTATCAAGTGGTAAACATTTTCATAGTCTTCATCACAAAGAGATTTATTTCCATGAAATATCAGAGTAACCAATCAAATAGCTTCCACAGCAACATCATATTCCTTATCAAGTGTCATTGATACAATGCAATCCTTGAATTGGCTTATGACTAGCTCCAATTTGGGGAATAATTCCCTATTGGCATAAAGACTCCAGAGCTTTCAAAAATTCAACCTGACTTCTCCTTGCCTGTCATGAAGAGTTCAACCAACATATTTTAGGTAACTGTCATTTAAGAAGGCATCACTATACATTTTCTTCCATACAACAGTTTCTTCAATACAAATGGCTCTAATCTCAGTAACAGCATCACAGTATCTATGAACAAATAAACCCTTAAAAATAGAGTTCATCATATTTTCGATTTCATCCTGATTTTCTTATACCTCTTTGTATTTCTGAAGTAGTAACTCTAACCTTTCATTGGCTCTTTTCCCAATCATTTTATTTCTTTCAGCTTCATACTGTTTCTGTGTATTATCCTGATAAATTCTGAGGTGTAAGGCAACATTCACCAAAGCAGTCATGAGCTTCACAGCAGCAAGGGTGCTTGTATGCCTAAAAACTCTAATCTGGGCCCTAACCGGTTTGGCTCGGTGGATAGAGCGTCGGCCTGCAGACTCAAGGGTCCCGGGTTCGATTCCGGTCAAGGGCATGTACCTTGGTTGCGGGCACATCCCCAGTAGGGGGTGTGCAGGAGGCAGCTGATCGATGTTTCTCTCTCATCGATGTTTCTAACTCTCTATCCCTCTCCCTTTTGCTCTGTAAAAAAACCAATAAAATATATTTTAAAAAAAAAAACAAAACTCTGATCTGGGAGTCTGACAAACCAGTCAAAAGGGAGATTACTGGGTCCATCATATATTCATCATAAATTATGCTATACTAATACTGTCAAATCAGGACTCCAGTAAATTCACAAACTTTTTTTCCACCGAGGTTGAGGCATGGTAAGGAGATAATCACCCCTGTCCTCATCAAATTCTTCAGTAATTTTTCTGATGATTTCTGCATTCTACATATTTCAAAACATGTCTATTCTCACAGTACCACAACATTCTAAACACTGGGTAAAAAAGTTGATGCCGTTTTGGCTCAGTGGATAGAGCACTGGCCTGAGGACCAAAGGGTCCTGGGTTCGATTCCAGTCAAGGGCGCGTACATCGGTTGCAGACCCTGATCAGGGCATGTGTAGGAGGCAACCAATAGATGTGTTTCTCTCACATCGATATTTCTCTCTGTGTTTCTCTCTCTTCCACTCTCATGGAAAAATATCCTCAGGTAAGGATTAAAAAAAAGTTGATTAAATTCAGAAGTGCAATGTCTCTGTCTTGTTTATATGATTTAATCCAGTTATCCACCAGTACTGCACTGCACTTTCCCCATTTCACTACTTCAAATAATGTGACAGACTCCCCTTTGTCATTCTATTGAGGGTGCCCATTCTTCCATGGCTTCAATTCTAACTCCAGTTTCAATTCTACTGTTCTTCCCTGGAGATTTTCAAAGTTTCTTATTTGTAGATGGAAGCTGGCCGGGATAACCCCATTTTCTTTTTCCTTTGACTTCTGTTTCTTCAAGTTCACTGCCAGCATCAGAATGAGCAATAGTTTCATTTGTTGAATCCTGTAACACTGGTAACTCTGAAGTAATCATTGTGGAGAGGTGTTTTCACAACTCAAAACTTGAAAAATAACCTCAAAGGCAATCCTTAGCTACCTATCCAGGCACTGCAGCCATTGACATAGTTACGCCTCAAAAGTCTTTGGTGTGTTATTCCTGAGTTATTCCAGTTGCCAGGGTTTAGGAGAAGGGGAGGGCCTCAACCCAGCTGCAATCCTAACTTGCCATCTGGTAGCATTTCCCACATGCCAGTGGCAGAGGTCTGCTGATAGGCTCAGAAAGGGGAGGTAATTGGGGGCCACTACAGGAAAATGCACTAACTCTTTCCAATGGGGATTGAGTGCACACCAATAATTTTTCACTAACAGAAAGAAGTTTACGGAAACCCTCAAAACCTGGATTGAGAACAACTGCCTCTACAGAGTTCTGCATTTGCTGCTGCCAAGTGCTACAGGAAATTTTGCAGGATAAAAACTATTTTTTTTTATGTTACATATTCTTAGGAAATATTTTCCCCATTTCCAAAGCCCAAGCAAAAACTAATTTCCTTCTGAGCCAGTGAATGGAATGCTTCAGTCTACCTCTTCACTGGGAGTATCACCCTCTGGAGGAACCAGATTGATGAGAGCTCCCAGGCTCACAAAGGGCCTAATGCCTCATTTTCTGTACCCATGTGGGTTATTTAAACCCACAAAGAGAAAACGTCCCCAGGACAGGCCTAACATCAGCTCAATGGCCAAATGTACTGGATTTTATATCACTGTCATATTTACCTGCAGATATTTCTCTTACATTCTTACAAAATCACGGTACTGGAGAATCAAGAGCTCTGATGACTCCAGTGGTTTGGGACTAGGATTTTTTATTACATACTTTTTTTACATGTTTTATTCAATTTTCTAGGGTTTTGTTTTTTTTAATCAACATAATTTTAAGGTCATCTGTTCCACGATATTACCAAAACTAAAAATGAAACTAACATTACAAATAATTATTCCTGTTCAAAGTCAACAATTAGGACCACCATTGCTTTTTTTTTTAATTGATTAATTTGAGAGAGAGGAAGGTGGGGGAACACATGGATTTGTTGTTCCACTATTTATGCATTCATTGGTTGATTCTTGTATGTGCCCTGATCGGGGATTGAACCTGCAACTTTGACACATCAGGATGATATTCTAACCAACTGAAATACCAAGCCAGGGCCCAATTTGCTATTTTTGACCAACTAGCTCTTATTCCCCCAAATTTTGCTTCATCCCTCCCTCTCAGCCCATGTTTGACTAGTTGACTCTAATAAGGGTGAAAAATGTAGTTCAGACTTAAATTAACCAAAGACTTCCATCCCTAGCTGAGTCCAGTCAGAACAAAGCACAGGACTGGTTTGAATAGAAAACAAGAAGGCCCATGGGGCTTTCCTATAGAGCAGGAAAGAGATAAAAATGCTGCTAGCTAAGGGACTGATGGGAAGGGCTAAACAGACTATCCACAATTGGGAGAAGTGTGACCTGTGACCAACACTGAGCTAATACTGAAGAAGTAATGCTGAGCCCAGGAGGGCTAGGTCCTAGTCCCAAACCACTGGAGTCACCAGAGCTTCTGATTTTCTAGTACCATGATTTTTCAATTCCATGAGCCAATACATTTTCCTCCTTACCTAAGACACTTTGAGCTGGGTTTGTCAACTGAAAGCATTCTTAGTGACATGGAAATTCACCAGCATTCAAATTCAAAGTTCAATAATGAAAACAAAATTGTACTTGCTTACCTGGATAACCAATTCCTTTGGCATTTGTATAGGGAACCCCAGAAGAACTAGGACTATAAACAGGATTCATGACTTTGAGAACTAAAAAAGAAAAAGAAAGATTTAGTCAAACACTATTGTTCTCAGTTTTTCCTCCAGCATCAATCTCAAAAAAAGCAGGTAATAAGAGTCCTTCCTTTCCTTTACATAGCTAAGGCATCTCATTCTGCTGCCAACCAACAGCAAACAGAAAAGCAACAGCAATGTCCGAAGGCACCCACCAGGACACTGTAAACTTTCCTTTAAAACTGCTTTCAGAGCATCAGAAGCTAAGAAAAAAAAAAAGTGGTGTTCTCTACCTCCCTGCTTAAAACAGTGGGAAAAAAAACAACTGTAAATAACCTAAATGTCCTCATAAAGGTAAGAATAGTTAAGTAAAACAGATCTACCCAAAACATGAAATATCGGTTCAGATGCTTTTAAAAATGGTAAGTGAAGAAATACCTGGCGGGGGAGGCGAAGATGGCGGTTGGCAGGACAAGGGTGAAGGAGAGGGTGTGAGTGAGTGAGGGGATGAAAGAAGAGTGTGTGGATGTGTGTGGTGTGTGTGTGAGTGAGTGAGGGACAATTAAATCCAGCAGGAAAATCAGAAGTTGGCAGACCAGGCTCTCCTGGACAGGGAACACCTACCGCCACTGCGGGCACTCCCCGGGCTACAGGGCTCGGGCACAGAGCCCACGCCATGGGAGCGGCCACTTCTAGGAATCCATCAACACCACCACCCAGACTGACCTTGGACACTGCCCGTGACCCTGCAGCCACTCTAGCCAAAATCCTGCTGCCCCGCCCGCAGACCTGCAGACCCTAGGACGTTCACCTCCAAGGGTGCACCGGTCCCTCAGCAATAAGTGCAACTTTCCCCTTCTTGGATGCTGACCTCAGGATACCTCAGTTGCGCCTTCCCAGCACGCAGGCCTCCTGAGCCAACCACCCCACAGGCCGTTCTAGGGTGCCTCTGTGAGCCTCCGGTGGGCATGCTCATATCCAAACAAAGAAGCAAGGCCCCAGCAGTAGAAATTCAGACTTCCCCCTTCCCGGCTGCCTGCCCACAGACACCAAGGTCCCATGGCTTCAGCATGAGGGCCCCTCTGCATGCACCGGCCCCCAGGGGCCTCTGTGGGCCAACGCTGGGCATGCGCAAATCCAACCAAGGGTGCAAAGCCCCCGACAGCAAAAACTGAGTCTTCCCCATCCAAGAGCTGCCAACCGCCAGACACCACAGTCACGCCTTTCCAGCACACAGGCCTCCTGAGCCCACGGCCCCAAAGATGGCACTTGGGTGCCACTGTAAGCCCCCACTGGGTGTGCTCATATCCAAATAAGGATAAAGGGCCCTGTCAGTAAAAATTCGGACTTTCCACTTCCTGGCAGCCTTCCCACAGACACCAAGGTCACATGGTTTCAGCATGAAGGCCCCTCTGCGTGTACCACCCTGGCAAACGGCCCCTGGGTGACTCTGTGAGCCGCTGCTGGGCGCGTGTGAATCCAATCAAGGGTGCAAGGCCCCAGCAGCAAAAACTGAGTCTTCCCCATCTACAGCTGCCAACCGCTGGACACCACAGTCATGCCTTTCTAGCACACAGGCCTCCTGAGCCCCACCACCATTCTGACAGGCGGGCTCCCAGGTGCCTCTGTGAGGCCCCGTTGGGCACGCGTGAATCCAACCAAGGCCGCAAGGCACCAAAAATTGAGACATCTCCCTCCCCAGCTGCTGACCTCTAAACACCACAGTTGCACCTCTCCAGCATGCAGGCCTGCAGGCGGCTCCTGAGTGCCTCCTTGAGCCCCAGATGGGAGCGCTCATATCCAAACAAGAGTGCACAGCCACAGCAGTAGAAATTCAGACTTCCCCCTTCCCAGCTGTCTGCCCCATGGTTGCGTGGTTTTAGCACATGGGCCCCCTGAGTCTGCCACCCCAGCAGGCGACTCCTGGGTGCCTCTGGGAGCCGCCACTAGGCACATTCATATTCAACCAAGGGCACAAGGCCCAGGCAGCAGAAACTCAGACTTCCCCCTCCTCAACTTCCAACCTCCGGTCACTGCAGTCGCACCAATCCAGTGCGCAAGCACCCTGAGCCCACAGCCCCAGCAGGCAGCCCCCAGATGCCTCTCTGAGCCACCGAAAGGCAAAAACCCTGGCTGCCAGCATTCAGTCCATGCAGTAGTTGCTAATCCAGCACATGGGCCCCCTGAGCCCACTGCCCAAGCAGACAGCTCTTGGGAACCTCAGTAAGCAGCCACTGGTCATGAGTATGCAACCAAGGAGTACACCTCCCGAAGCAGAAACTGGGATTTCTCCCTCCACAAGGCCGGTGGCACACCACAATCACTCCAATCCAGTGTGTGGGCACCACAAGCACACGCCCCTGGCAGACGACTCCTGGTCCCTCAGTGAGCTGCCACTGGGTGTGTGTCTCTCCAACCAAGGGTCCGCAGCTCCCTCAGTAGGATCCACAACATCCCCGTCCCAACTGCCTACCTCTGGACACCTTGGTGAGTTACTGAGGGCTCACTTCCCTGGACAAGGCCACATTGTTTCAGCCACAGACTCCGAGATTCCCACATCCACAGCTGTTGGCTCCTGAACCCCCTCGTGATTCAGAGAGGGAAATCATTTTGGCCAGAGTACCACTGTCACAGTCTCTGGGACCCTCGTAGTAAGTTTCAAAATGACACTAATCCAGCAAGAAACAAACAACACCTGCCAAAGGTCACAGTACCTGAGTCTCAGGCCCCAAGACTCCTTACTCCCAGGCCATGAACTCTGGAAACACAAAGTGAGCACATACCAGTGAGACATAAGGCAACCATTTTCACAAGAGCCAGAACCAGAATCACATCCAAAATAGTAGACACAATGAAGCCAGGGGTGAATCACATTGCCAATCCGTGAAGAGACTTCATCCACGAATAACAAACTAACATTCAAAACCCAAATACATCAAGAGAACCCAAATAACTCAAGTAGGGGGCTCCGCTAGATCACCATACCCAGGAGACATGAGAGACTGCACCACTGAGTCCCAAAAATCACCAACTACATAGGAACACCCCCAAAAGAACCTGGGTAGCAAAGCAGTTGGCTCTAAGAAATAGTAACAATTAAAACGTTACAGCAAAAAATGGGAGACAAAAAAATCCCAAAAGGAAGGAAAAGTAGGAATCACCAGAATGGGAATTAAATGAAATGGAGGCAAGTAACATGTCACAGAAAGAATTCAGTGTAACGGTTACAAGGATGCTCTAATGGCTGGATGACAAATACAACTCAATAAGAATTATAAGGAGCTGAATGAGAATATCACCAATATGAAAAGGACCCAAGAGGAAATGAAGAATGACCTAGTTGCAATAAAGAACAAAATGAAATTCTTATACAGTAGACTAGAAGAGGCTGAGGACCACATTAGTGAATTAGAAGACAAGACAGGAAAAAAACACACAAAAACAGCAGCAACTGCAAAGAAAACTTAAAAAGCAGAAGAAGAGCATAAGGGAGCTTTGGGAAAACACAAAATGAAACAACATTTGCATATAGGGGTAACAGAAGGAGAGGAAGCAGAGGAAAAAATAGAAAACCTGTAAGAAAAAATAATGACAAAAAACTTCCCTGATGTTGCCAAGAAAAAAAACCCACACAACCTCAACAAGCAAATAGAGTTCCAAACAAGATGAACCCCCCAAAAAACTGTCAAGCCACATCATAATTAAACTGGCGAACATCAATGAGAAAGAAACTTAAAGGCTGCCAGAGAGAGACAGAAAGCTACCTGCAAGGGATCTCCCATGAGAATATCAACTAATTTCTCAACAGAAACACATGAGGAAAGAAGGGAATGAAATTAAATATACAAAATGATGCAAAGCAAGGGTCTGAATCCAAGAATACTACACCCAGCAAGGCTATCATTCAAACTTGAAGGTGGAATCAGGAGCTTCACAGAAAATAAAGGGCTAAGAGAGTTTATTACCACCAAGCCAGCAATACAAGAAATGCTAAAGAGACTGCTGTAAAAAGAAGAAATAAAAAGGCAAGAAGGAACACAAGCATAAAGAATAAAAATGGCTACAAATAAGTACTTATCAATAGTAACATTAAATGTAAATGGATTAAATGCTCCAATCAAAAAACATAGGGTAGCTAAATGGATAAGAAAACATGACCCATATATTCTTTGTCTGCAAGAGACCCACCTCAGAACAAAGGATTCACACAGACTGATAGGGAAGTGATGGAAAAAAAATTTTCAGGCAAATGGAAATGAGAAAAAAGCTGGGGTAGCAATACTTATATCTGACAAAATAGACTTTAAAGTAAACACCATAACAAGAGATGAGGAGGGCCACTTCATAATACTGAAGGGAGCAATTCAACAAGAGGATACAAATTCTGCTAAACATATAGCCACCCAATACAGGATCAATCAAACACATAAAACAACTTTGTAAGATATCAAGGGAGAGATCAACAGCAATACAATCATAGTAGGGGACTTTAATACCCCATTGACAAAACTGGATAAATCCTCTAAACTAAAAAATCACCAAAGAAACAGCCATCCTAAACACTCACTAGATCAGAAGGACTTAATTAACATCTTCAAAACATTTCACCCCAAAGCTACAGAATATACATTCTTCTCAAGTGCACACCGGACATTTTCAAAGACAGACCACATAATAGGACACAGGCAAAGTCTCTTAAATTCAAGAAGATAGAAATCATAATAAGCATCTTCTCATATCACAACGGCATATAACTAGAAGTCAACTACAATAAAATTAAAAAAAAAAACACTTGGAGGCTAAATAGCATTCAATTGAACAATGATTGGGGTACCAAATAGATCAAAGAATAAAAAGCATCCTGGAAACAAATGACAGTGAAAACACAACAATCCAAAATCTATGGGAAACAATGAAAGCAGTCCTGAGAGGGAAGTTCAGAGCCCTACAGGCCTACCTCAAAAAGACAAAAAAAAAAAAAATGGTAATAAATTGTCTAACCTTGCAACTTAAAGAATTAGAAAGAGAGCAACAAG